AAAATGATGCGTAATATCACGATTCTTTATAGAAGTGTCTTAGAATTATCACTATTTGTGATTTTACTGTTTCAGAAGTTTTAAAGGAAAGACACAGGTCAACTGAATGTTAGTACATATGTGTGGTTAGCCCTTTCTTAGGGGATATTCCATAACAGCTCTATTGCCAAAACCAATGTGTTCGTTTTCTGCGATATCTTATGACACTGACATATTCTAAAGAAGTATGATTAAGAAGCTTTAAGCTCTATGAAATGGCCACTAAGACATGAACTCTTAGCCCAAAGCAAAGACTTATGCAAGCACATGAATACCTACATACTATACATAAGGTAATTAACTAATCACAGATAATATGCATGAAAAATATTTTAAAGTATCTAGAAATACACGAGTAGATTTATAGTCTTTTCTAATCTTACTTGTCTCCAGCAAAAAAAAAATGTTGAATTATATGACGCTACTGCATAAACACCTTATCAAATAAGTAACTTACATAAGTAGAGAATTGCATTTTTAACTATTTGCTCCAACCTCTTCTATAGGAAGAAACAACTTTAAAAATGCATTTGGTGAATAATCTATATGAATAAAACGTCTACTAGCTTACTCAGAATTGTTGTAGATTGTGTGTAATAAGTATTAATAGAACATGTAAGTAGCCCCCCAGTGGCACAGCGGTATGTCTGCGGACTTACAACGCTAGAATCCGGGTTTCTATACCCGTGGTGGGCAGAGCACAGATAGCCCTTTGTGTAGCTTTGTGCTTAATTACAAACAAACAAACATGTAAGTAACTTCCAGTTAAAAGAAGATGTTTTGAGAAAGTTTCTCTTAGTTTTGAACGACTAGGTGTGCTTCATATTTGCAGTATTTTAAGGATGAAATTAAATGTCTTAGACAAATTTAGCTTCTGGTTGGTTGATGTGTTTCAGAAAGTACGAGAGAAAAATAATAATTCCTTGAACTAAAGTGTTCTTGACTTGAGCTAAAGTGTTCTTGATAATTATGAATAAAACGTACAGGGTAATAAAATAAATTAGAGATACCAGAATGCTGAAATTATATACCCTAATTATAATACAAATGAATAATCGTACTATTAATTTTATTTGTTTCAATTCATAGTCACGTAATGAGCTATCTATACTATCTATACGAGCTGAATGGTGTGCTTTTCTGTCACGTACTTGCTCCTGACTTCTTCTAACTACATCTTGGAGAGCAATTTAATGTGCTTCTGTATTTTGGGTTTGTTCCTGGCTTCTTCTCACTGAATCTTGCCTCATAACTTGGTTAGCAAGCCTATCTCTTTCTACTTGCATCCCGACGTTTCATTTTCTTCCTCAAAGTTTCAGACTTTCTCCGTGATAAGTCACTTTTCCGTTTGGCAATTTTTGGCATCGTGATTTTTTATGTTTTTGTTCACTTTATACTCATACTGAAGTAAAATAATACTTGTGTAACTTACGAAGATCGAGTTACTATAAAATTCCTGCAAATTTGTATGCAACGAACTCCGTACGAAGGACTTGCGAATTTTTCGGTCATAGCGAACACTTGGATTCTCCATCAGAAAAAGTCACTTTTCTTCTGAAATATCACAGAGATTCTCCAGTAGGAAGACTCACTTTTCAATTCCGCATTAAACTCACTTTACGACAATTTTAGAAGTTTTATTAAAAAAATAATTTCGTGTATAATAATAATAAATGTACAAAATTAAAAAGTAAAAAAGTACCATTTCTCCATTAAGGAAGCGATTCAGGGAAAAAATGTTATCAAATAGGGTCCTACTACCGTTTTAATTTTAACGAGGGTCTATTTTATTTCATTTTTTCATTTTGTTGCGATATAAAGCTGTTATTGACTTATTTCTTTAAACACAAAGTTGACATGTGCACTAAATAAACTTTTTATGAGAGACCCAATTGTAATAAAACTTTGTTTGGAACTTCCCCTTATGATGTTGAAAAATCATACGAAGTTTCATTCAAACCGGACTTAAACTGTGGGGGGAGTTTTCCGGACAGACGGACATTAGCCTCTTATATATGTAAATATACATATATATATATATATATGTAAATGCAAATTAATGAACGTGAGTTATCATAATTTTAATCATGAGTATAATTTTGATGGGAATGATCTTAAGAGTTTGTGGAAGAAAATGATATTTGTGTTCTGGTTGATTAGTCTCTATCCCAGCAGCATTCTGTTTCTAGAGGGAGGGCAAATAGAACTTTAAGTGGTATCTACAAAAAATATTGAATTCAAGTATAAATAGGCTGTAATTTCATTGCATAGGTCACTGAATCAGCCACATTTAGAGTATTGTTTTTAGTATTGGGCTCCTTACCTTAGGAAGGACATTTTGAATTGTTGGAAAAGGGTCAGAGGAGGGTTGTTGAGGTAATAACTGAGATGTGAAAATAAGTTAAGGTCTCTAAAATTATGATTTATTGAGAAATGAAGAGTTAGGGGGATCAAATTGAGGTGTTTAAGGTTATTAAGGGAATTGATAGTGTTAATGCATCTTCTTTTTTTCGTAATTAATGTGAGTATGGTAAGAAAAGGGGACACAACTATAAATTTTGACAGCGTCACCTTCAGCTAAGGATGGTTGGTTTTTTGGAATGGAATGGCTTCAGATGTGATGTATGCAATTAATTTAAGGGAAGACTTGATAATTATTTGAGTGACAAGAGCTGACTTGGAGTATTATATTTTTATTTTAGAGTTTAATATAATGAATAGGACAGCATATATGGACCAATGGATCCTTTGTTGTTCTTAAATTATATGTATATGTATACACGTGTATGTAAATAGAAGTAATCTCCAGGTATACAATTATTGTTATTAAATTACTGATTTAAAGAAAGATCTTTTGTGAAGAAATTCTAGGATGAAGAATACATTCCTATGGATAGAAAGCTGTGATTAAATTCTTAGATAAAAACAATCCCATATAAATAAATAATTTGTGATTAAATTATCGTATGAAAACAATCTCTTAGAAATATATCATCTGTGATGGAATTTACGGATAAAAAAAGCAATCACTTATAAATAAATAATTTTTTTTGAGATTAAATTCTCAGATAAAAATATTCCTTATAAATAAAGATATGTGATTAATGTCGGATAAGTAAATTATTCCTAGACGTGAAATTCTTGTGATTAATTGCTCAGTTAATATTTTATGAGAGTAATGAATTTTTTAATGTGGAAGAATAACACCGTTTACAGAGCAGCTGACTACAAAATTGAGTTCTTGATTGTCAATGATAATATTTTATTGGCAACAACTTGTGAATGAAAAGAAGCATAGAAATGCGGAATCGGACAAAATTTTTACACACACACACCATGCAAACAAGTCGATAATAAATGTGTACGTTGATACAACTACAGTCTCAACTGCAAGAAACACGAAACCAGATCTTTAAATATTGAATTGGCGAATACAGTGTATAGTTTCAGGTAACGTTCATACATTATCTAGGCTCTGTAATGTATTCATAGGCTACTTACCAAGAAACGATGAAGTTACGAGAAACGGAGAGCATTGCATCCAAATCTCATTAGAACTTAAGTACCCTTATCAAGTCACTTACGAAACAAGGAATCAGTGCTTTCATAAATTTATAATCCCCTTGATCAGAGAGCCTAAACCTCATTCGCTGTCTTTTCTTAATATTCTTGTTTTGTTTAATTTTATAACATATACATTTCATTCAATAACGTAGTTTATTAAATAACTTTTTTGAGCAATCTATAGAGAAGAAAAAATAATAATCCTCATCAAACACACGATACTATAACATTGTAATGAGACTAATTATTATTATAGGTGAATAAAAGGAATTAATTATAAGGGTTTTAATTAATTTTTAAATACATTTTTGTACTCGGAAACCAGCATGTAGATCGTAACCCGAGCATGTTCTACAAATGAAGATTTGAAAGAGACTAACTGTTCTCTCCTTTTGTTTTTTAACCTCTGAGATAATATACCAAGAAATCCTGTAATTATCACTTTATAAGGTTATTTTGTGATATATATATATACATCCATTAAAATAAATAACTGTCATATTGCAAGGCCCTTTTTTCTAGATATATATTTTTGAATTCAGTAATTGTTTCCTCATAAGGAATTTCTGAGATACAGGTTTGGAAATACAACCATTTCCTGCTTATAAGATTATTTGGGTTATGTATTTTATAAGGCTGTTTTGCTATACATTTTTTGAAATCAATTGATAATACCATTATAAAACTGAGTTTAGATTATGAAATTATAGTTTTGATACTGTAAGATCTTCCACAGAAAACATCTTTTAAACCCCACGTTTACCCTGGAACACAATACAACAACTCGAAACAACAAGAACAACCAGTTTTATAGCTTTAGTGATATAATTATTTATAGACATTGAGAAAATAAAATACTAGGTATCATGATTACAAGTTCATATATGTATGTCATGCATTGGCGACATTACCAGCATATCAATACAAAGTTATATGTGAAAATAATGAAATGGGTATTTAATAATACTGATATTAAAGTAACTTGGCTAATTCCTATCACTTTAGGATATATACAAGTATGCGATAAACATACTAAGATAGACAAATATTCATTTTCAAGTTCACACTTTCAGAAAGATAGATGAAAACACTAAGGTCGTCTAACATAAAATTCAAGTTTTTTTTTTCCAAAACCATCATGTATTTCAAAACGTTTCTAAAAATTAACAACTCGGGAGAGATATTACTGAAATATCACGTTTATATCTTTTAATTTTTGACATTGAATGATATAAGCTACTAAGCTGGTTCAAAACCACACTTTCTGTGTTGCAAATAACCTTTAACTTGCGAAAATTGAAATAATTTAAAAGGTTAAGAAAAGAAAACTTTGATACATAAGTAAACTATATATATCATCTGTGTGAAATTTTCACCTATTTTTTTTTCATCTCTAACATAACTTTAGCCAAAGAAAATTATTTTATTACGTAGCACAAGTTGATCTATTTACAGAATTTAAACACTTCAACAACACCGCAATCTCCTAAGTATGAAGTGTATAAAGTTTATGATTCAAATTAAGTTCATACTGAGAAAATTCTGATCTCAGTGTTAACCATTCTAGCTTCACAGTTTATCCTGTGTTTGTGTTTTACACAAATGTGAGAACTTAAATACCACACTTTCAACACTAACCTTATAAAATTGAATCTCGATCTCTAATCTTAGATACATTCAATGCCAAAAATATAATTATCGTAGTTGGTTTATTCAACTGTACTGGTAAATTTCATTATATAAGACAATCTTCTATATTTTCGCCACCCGGTATGTCTGCGGACTTACAACGCTAGAATTCGGTTTCGATACCCGTGGTGGGCAGAGCACAGATAGCCCATTGTGTAGCTTTGTGCTTAATTATAAACAAACAACCCTATATTTTGACCGATGTTCTATTTATTCAGTTAAGTTTAAGAGTTTTTGTTTAATGAGTTTACTGACTGTCAAAGTATAAATTCCTCAAAAGAGTCCGGCAAACATGGGTATACTGCTATAAGTAAACTTGTCCAAAACTGTAGCAAAACGAATATCGCGCAAAATGAATAGGACATTTTTTGAGTTAGCATAAACTTCCAAATCACATCTAAATACAGCATATAATTGAAAGAGTATATGAATGTATATACATAAGACTATTTGACAACTATTTTTATCTTTAAAGGCTTACTAATTTATCTAAAAGGAATACGGTGGTTTAGTGCTTTATAAATACACGAATATTAGAGCTTATACAGCGACCTCTAGGGGAACTTTATCTTAGCTTTAGAATAAGTAGGAACAATATCCCTACTTCTGTGGAAGATCGGATAATAAAAGTTTCTGTACTTTATAAAATATCTTGAAGAACAAGGTGAATAAATATCTGAGAAACGTAACTGTCGATGGAATTAATGTTTAAACCAAGGATAACCTTTCAGCCAAGTCACCAAACTCATAATCATTGTTACAGTCAGCAAATGCATAATCATTCTAAAGTCAACAGTCAGTCAATCGTTAATTAATCACTTTTACAACCAGCAAACACCTTGGTTTATATTTTAGCCAATTAAAAACACCTAATCATTTTTACAGTCACCAAGATATAGTTTTTTTCTCTAATAATTAAACACCTTATCATTTACACAATAAACAGGCATCTTGGTTTATGTATATTTGAGCCAAACAGTAAATACATAATCATTTTCACATTCAAAGGGCACCAAGGTTTCTATGTAAGCCTATCTTCAAACACCTAGTAATCTCTACATTCAACAGGTATCTAGGCTTATATTCCAGCTAATTGTGAAACACCTAACAATTTTTACAGTCAACAGGAATCTGCGTTTATATTTCGACTAATCATGAAACAACTGGTAGTTTCTACAGTCTTTCGTCGATATGTTTCGAGGAAGATTCCACAACTGATGGCAAATTCACTTAGCAGATAAACACTTTGTTCAGCTTATCTTTTCACATTTGATTGAAAACAGTATCAAACGTAATTTGGTGTATAATTTAACCTTAAATGTTTATTTAGTGATTTCTGAAATAATTCAACTAACCAGTAGCGAGTGATGAGCGAGTTATAAACGTATAGTGATTAGGGTTAATTCGTTTTTCGTCAATCTTTTACCAAAAACATCTCAGCTGGAAGAAAAGAATGTCATATTCGAGCCAATATAAACTACTTATAATTGGTGAACACGGTTTAGAAAAGTGTATCACCAAGAAAAAAAAACACAAGCCTAAAAAAGGTCGCAGAATTATCCTTGTAATTGCAAACAGCGAAGCACATCCTTAATTATGGAGATATCTATTTTCATTATAATTTCTGTTGTTATATTGTGTAAAAACAATATTAAATGACGCATAAGCTTCTTCGTTTACGTGTTTGGGATGAGGAAGTAATCTTATGTATATTGTGAACCGTGGTGCCTGTCTGAGCGTTCGTCTGTCTCCCGTTTGGAAAGCTGCGCACGCAGGCAAAGCTCAACATTCACTTCTCAAATGACGGGAGAACAGGCATGAATAATGTTGATGCCCAATTTTATTTCGCAAGCAGGATATTCTACGCTAACTTGTTAGGAATTAACCACACTATCATTCACATTACAAAATGTGGCGTAATTTAAAGAATAAAAATGTAGATTTACCATATATTATTGTTCAGCGGCTCTTATCATGACTGAAATGTTCAACAATTACTTTTCGCGGTGGGCGGTATAAGTAGCTAAGAGCTTTGGCTATGAGTGAAACCAAGAGCGCAACACAGTTAACCTTTTTCAAGTCCACGAAATAATTTAAATTGATAAATTAGCCTAAAGGTTTCATGTTACTGGGGACGGGTACTTTTGCTTGTTGTGTATATATCTCAAACCTTGAACAATTATTTGTATTGCATATCCCAAATTAGACCGGTATATTAAATAAGCTACATTAACTGCTGGGTTAATTTTAATTTTGATCTATGTAGGTAGCTTGCTTTGATTCAAGGTTGCTGGTAATATTCTGATAGTGAAAATTCATTAGTGAAAACCATTCTGTTGTTGCGATGGTTCAAATCCGAGTATAAGTTCTGATGAAAATTGATTGAAAGAGATGTTTTATATATGTAAGTAGAAAAGAGTATGTTTTTTTAATTGATCGGTGGTTCTTTTACTTTTCTGTAACAATGAGTGGCCCTAGCTATTCAATTCTGTTCTTCTGAATAATTCTTTTTTCTTTAAATAACTTTTATTTCAAGTTTGGGATTGAGATTTTTGTACTTCTAGATTTTAGTTATACTTTCCCAGTAAACGTTTTTAGCATATATAACAAATTCTTAATGCTATTGGAATCGGATGAATTTGAAAGTCAGATCTATATTTTATCCGTCTTCTGCTCTATTAAAAAGGACATTTTTTAAAGCTTGCAACTTCCATCTTAAGTTAATCACGTCGTTTCACTTTCCTAATTTACGTCAGCATGAAATTCGACAGCCTTTTGCCTTATTTTAAAATTATAATAGAGAATGGCAATGATAAAAAACAAAAATGGCAACAATATGACAACCATCTTGTATCAATAAAGTTCTGGCAAAAAACATTCAATCATTGGAGCTTCTCTATAAATCAGTTAATAAGTACATAAATATAAAACCAGAAACGTTATTATCAATAAAAGTCACAATTCTCTAAACTCGTGAAACGGGCACAAATAGTAGTTTTAATTTTTAAAGACGAAGAGAGAAAGAGAAATGGCCACAATTAGAAAAAAAAATACTACCATCCCCCTAAAAAACAACAAAAAAAACTGACAAACCTAAAAGCATTCCAAATGTTGTAATTAGCAAAATGTTTCTTCTAGGTTATTGTTTTATATTTCACTTTCTGTGAAATAAACGAACTACTGCATTCTAAGTTACTATCATAATTGAGAAGAAATTTGGCAAAGTTTTTTTAAAACTGATAACGATGGTTGAATGTGTCTAACCTTTTAGGGAGTTAAAACGACAAAGGATGTTTTTATCCTACTCACTGAAACAACTGAAAAAAACTGTCATGGACAGAATGCACTCTGAAAAGTAGCTTATTCTAATACGATGTTCATTGTTGATAGGTATATTGTAATCCTTCTCTGGATATAAATTCAACACTAAGAGATTCATATCCAAGCTATGGGATCACAGACACGTCAGCATTGCTGACGACAGCGTCATCATTATTTACCAGATGGCGCTGGATTTTTATGCGAGTGCACATGATTATTTTAGTTTATATGATGCCAATAAGCAATGTATGTAATGAAAATAATAAAGGCATTGACTAACTTTTATTATTAGTTGATAATAATAAGAAAAAAAGAACTGAATAATTAATGTTTTGAAATATACTGTTAAGTTAATATTTTTTACGATTTCTTTTAAAGCATTAGACTCGAAAACTTGTGTGTGCCATTTGACATGGGGTTAAACTTTAATTACAAAGTTCTTATTAATAGCTTATATAGTGACCGTATATATCAAAGGCAATATGGTTATCAGTTGCGGATTGATTTTATCAGGAATATTTCTTTTCGCCTGATAGACATTATGATAGAATGTTGTAGATCAAGAGTGACCAAGATTACAATGATAATAAATGAGCTAGAGAACGCAGGCAGCTCCAAGATGGACCGGTATAACATGGTACAGAGAGGAAGGATAGAGGAAGTACGACAGGCGGGCAGGCCACTACTGTACTGCTCTATTGCCAGGATCACAACCTCGGTTTGAGGCATTGGAATAAATGACTCTGTAAGTCATCGTCCTCGGTCAGTCTTCGCCATTTCCCGTGGCTACAGCTAACCCAAAAACTCAAGAGAGAACTCGTAGTTCTTAAAATGACTGCCGTATTAAAGTGCTGATACACGAACCGTGTTCGTGTTGACTGGAGATGGCGCTGTGCTCGTCGTTTCGGCAGACAAAATAGCTTCGGTTTCAGAATTAGGACTAGGTTGAGACATGGTTATCACGGTTGTAGTGCCAGAATCGCTTCCAGGTGGCGGATTCATATCAGTTATCAAAGGTTCTGGATTGTTCAAACTAGATCTAGATAGACTGATATTATGATGATATAGATTGCCAGAAGAGGATGCTGTGTTTGGTATAATCCTTACTTGAATATCATTTTGTTCATCATCTTGTTCTAATGTTCCTTCTCCACTATGTTCCTACAGAGAAAAAACAAAACACTATTAACCTAAAGAGAAAGATTGTTTCAAAATTGAAAAAAATGCAATTTCATAACTTAGGTTAACAAATGAAAATTAAAAATATGCAACACTGTTTAAGGTACTCTAGATAGTATCTTAAAACAGCGTTCATTTTTGTGTAAACTTGTTACGCGGACTAAGTGAAACATCGTGATTGTGCTAAACAGTTGAAATGCAATACTCGTTACAACTAGGTAAAGACATTGTAATGATTAACTTGGTTCAAACGTTACTCATAGATCAAAATAGAGCAAGATCAGCTGTGTTGTTCAAAATCAGAGAAAAATAGCTAACAGAGTAAGAAAATGTTTCGTGTACAACTGACAAGTATTGTTCTTCACTGTCAAAGAAAACTTTCATGGCTGAGTGTTACAAAAACCAGCCTCACAAACATGAACCTTGGAATATGTAATAATGAATAAAATACGGGGTGGACTAGAGCGAACCCATAAATAAAGAAAAATTAAACTGTATGACCTTAATTCTTCATGATTAGCCACCTAGTGGCAAGTCTGCAGACTTATAACGCTAGAAACCGGGTTTCGATAGCCGTGGTAGGCATAGCACAGATAAAACGCTTTGGGCTTAACTACAAACAAGCAAATCTTCATGATTAATGTGTACTTGCAAGATCATTAAAGCAGTCTTGCATTACAAATGGTCAGAGTGTAAATATTCCCACATAAACAACAGAATTATTGTCCTTGACATTTATGGGGAGCTTGCCATAGCTCACTCTATATAACAACTGTAGAAAAAGAGCTAAAGGTTAAGCTTCAGTAAATTCAGTAAATTTCAGCCATACTATTTTCGATAAAGAACATGTCTGTCTTAAATATTTAAAAACGTATCTTTTAAATATTTCCACATTTAATCAGTGTGAGGCACACACACATATACTCAAAGAAACCTTTAACTAACTTATTCATGGTTTGGTAAAGACACGAGGTCTCCAAGTAATACGAAACGGATTCGTATTTCGATAATTATCCCCCCAAGGAACAGTTTTCTTCTCCTGTATTCATTCGCTCTCTGACATCTCAAAGTTATTTCAGCTACTAAAGTTTTGAAACTTACGCTGCTAGTCTACGTTTGAATACTTTACGTTGAAAAGTCAATCAGAAAGTTTTTTTTTCTCCTCAGTATTTATTTATATGTACGTATGTGACGTGACGTTGTGCGTGAAATAAAAGGCATTTTCGTAACAGTATCACTAGAGATTTCAATTTTCCAAAGCAATGTTTAAAATTTTTATGGTACAAAAGCCTAATTTCGAAACGATGAAGTTTTCGTCTCTGGCAAGAGATGTAAATGAAATCAAAAAACTTTTAACTATTTGTTTTATATTAGTTAATCAAACTATTTTGTTTTAATTATAATAACCGCTCTTTTAAAGTGGTTGTATCAGACTTGCAATTTTTCTAATACACCCTTTACATGGCAAGACAGAATTGTTTTGTGTTTTAAATTTTCATGTAAGTAGCAAAAAGTTGCTTTTTGTAAAGGTTATAACGACAAAGACAAGCGAAATATCCCGTTTTCGTATTTGAAATACCTCTATGTAGAATTTTCACATAACACAGTGAATAAGTATTATCTACCACTGAAAACAAGCCAACAGATCACGTGAACCTAGATTTTAGTCCTAAGTAAAAAAAATATATCCGTAATGGCGTCGGAATCGAATACCTGACTGTAATTAACCTGCAGATGATTAAGGTAGCCAAACAACTGCATTTAGGATGTAGCTTCTATCAGTTTTCCCTTCATTAGTTATTAAAGCCGTACTTTGACAAGATTCGGGAACTCAATTTTCATTCTTTCAGAAAAAAATCGGACTTCACAAAACAGAGTACCATCATTAAATATTATACTGTTTCGCTTAAGTTGAGGATGTCAAAGATAATTTTGAGGAGTTGAATCTGTTTAGGTTTCTATTAATGAATATAGGGGGCTTTAAGTAGGAAATTATTACAGACCACCAAAATAACTGATGAAATTAAGGACAAACTTTACAATGAGATTAAGGTTCCAGCTGTTAATGAGGTCATAGCCCCCAGTGGCACAGCGGTATGTCTTCAGACTTAGAACGCTAAAAACCGGGTTTCGATACCTGTGGTGGGCAGAGCCCATTGTATAGCTTTGTGCTTAATTACAAACAAACAAATAAACAAATAATGAGGTCATATTAATGGGTGATTGTAATTTCAAGCATATAGACTGGGAAATGTTAGAATCAACCATGAGAGAGATTTTCAAAATCCATTCAGGATGGTTTTCTTCACTAACTGGTTAAGGAACTTACTAGGAACAACGCTATTTTAGCTTTACTTTAACTTTTAATGAAATGGTTGAGAAGTTGAAGACTGAGGAACATTATTTTATTAGATTTGGTGTTTTATTGCATATGAAGATCAGAAAAAATGAGATTTTGGTTATAAATTTCAACACCCAACATGCTCGCCCTTTCAGCCGTTGAGGCATTATAATGTGACGGTCAATCCCACTATTCGTTAGTAAAAGAGTAGCCCAAGAGATGGAGGTAGATGGTGATGACTAGCTGCTTTCCCTCTAGTCTTAAACTAGCCAAATTAGGGACGGCTAGCGCAGGTAGCCCTCGTGTAGTTTTGCGCAAAATTCATAACAAACAAACAATTATAAATTTCAAAAAAGGACATTTTGAAGGTATGCCACAAGAATTATCTGTTGTGAAATGGGCAGCTGAATTCATTGAAGACATTGATTAAATGTGGAAAAGATTTAAAAAATACATTTTTAAATATTTAAGGCAGACATGTTTTTTATCGAAAAAAGGATGGCTGCAAGTAAAAAACTAGGTTGGACTTACAAAGCATAAAAGGGATAAAACAAAAGAAAAGCATGATATAATTAAGAAGTTTAAATCAGCTGTAATGATGGGAAATTAGGAAATAAAAGACTATATAAAAAGGTTGTCTGAAAATGTAAAAATTAACAGTAAGGGTGTTTAAGCAAAATGTTAGGATGGGAGTAGGATCTTTAAGGGATGTTACAGTAAGACTAATGTATTAGGCTATTTGAAAATGAACAGTTGGCGAATGATAGAAGATTGGAAGTTGTATAATGTTACTTCTCTTTTGAAGAGACGTGATAAAAAATTATCCCAGCAATTATAGGCCTATTAGTTTTACATCACTGGTGAGAAAAGGTTTTTGAAAGTCTAGTAAAATATGCTCTGCACAGTAATTTAACAAAGTTTAATATTTTATTGAATAATCAACAAGGTTTCACTAGGGGAAAGTCTTGTTTTAATAATTTTTTGACATTCTTTAAAGAGGTTACTGCTTATGTAGATGAGGGTATCGGTGTAGATTTAGTGTATCTGGATTTTCAGAAAGCATTTGACAAGGTGCCACATAAAAGACTTGTTAAGAACGATATCTAAAGGTGTGGGATAGAATTATCTCTAAAGATGTGGAGATAAGTTGGCCTGTTCAACACGAAAGTGGTTGAATGGAAGAAAGCTGAGGGTTGTCATATATGGAGTTAAGACAAACTAAATTAACGTCATATGTAGGGTATCTCAGGGCTCAGTGATGGGATCGTTGACCTCTTTTTTTCATTTATATCAATGACATAGATGAAGGAATGGTCAATAAACTACTTAAAATTGCTGATGATATTAAGATCTTGGGTGTTGCTGGTTGTAAAAAGGAGGATGCTATTTAACAAAAGGATTTAGATCATTTGGTGAGTTGGGCTTTCACTTTTAAACATCTCAATGAGATCCCATCTAATTCTTCTTTTTCAAGAGAACACAATTTCTGATATCTTAACCTGCCCATCTAAGGTAAGGAGCTCGAGACTGAACACAATACTCCAAATGTGCCCTGACCATTGACTTATACGATGAAATCATAACCTTTTTTAGATTTATATTCAATATTTTTGTAGAAACAACCTAAAATCCTATTTGCCTTTCCAATAGCAACGGTACACTTCTTAGATAGTTTAAAAGACTGGTCAACTGGAACACCAAGATCCTTTTCTTTCATAACACTCTTAAGGTTGCACCAATCACATTTATACTCATACTTCAATATGTGATAACCCCTGCATTATCTTGACTTTACTATATGCAGTTTATTTGCAAATGATAGTGTTATTGTTTTTTTATTTTTTATTTAACGTTGAGAATGTTAGTATTAGAGGACATAAATATAAATTTTGACAGGGTAGGAGACATCTTCAGCTAAGATATTTTTATTTTTCTAACAGGGTAATTGGCCTTTGGAATAGGTTGCCTTCAGATGTGGTGGAAGCAGTATATTTAAGGGAGTTCAATACACATAGTTTAATTTAGAGGATGAAATAGTATAAATGGACCAAACATTCATTTTTTATCTTTAAATGTTATGTCCAAATTGGCACTTCCAACAACAACAACAACAAAAAATCCCATAAACGGATTTTAAGCTTTAGAAGTAGGTTGGCATAGCTTAAGAGTCCTGCCAAATTCTATCTTTAATAACCAATGATGTAGAAATAAGACGATCAATTTTCGATACGCAGTCGTTTAGTTGGCCAAAGAATCTTCACAATAAGCAAATTCACTGGTTCGAATACTACCTTATCTTACTTTTCATTTTCCATAAATTACTTTTAGAAATTTTACAATTAGGCCACTGAGCTGTTTATTAGAATATGATTAGCTTTGTTCGTTTAAAAATTAAAACTTTCAACCGTATTTTGATAATTTCCATATAAGTGCAGCTACTCTTTATTCTTGTTTTTGATATTATTGCAATTTTCAATAACACTGGTTTTTTTCATGAAAGCTAGAAAACCCGTTTTGTGGATTCAAATTAGAAAGATAAGTTTTGTGTACGAAAGTCTACAAGTCTTCATGACTTCGACACAATGACTTAAGTAAAAGTGTAGAATATAGAAAGAGAGAAAATAAAGAAAATAAACAAATTTGAAAATTCAGTTCTCGTAGATTCCACATCATGTTGTAGAATATAACACAACATAACAACCTTTAAATAAACATTTGTAGGTTAGTAAAGTACATCTTACCATAAATAATTCTTCTTCTTTGAACATGAAAACGTACTTATATCTATATAAGATGAAGCATGACATAGTGGTCAAGATGGATAATTACCTACCTTAGTGGATGTCCTCTGTAAGACGGCCTGTAAAAGAATGGAGAGAAATACGTGCAAATGTTGGACCATGAAGGAGGGGGTGGGGTGGGGGTGATAGAAAAGAGTGGACAGAAAAACAACTAGGTGAATTAAGTCAACTTAAAAGAGTAATATACACATACACACATATATATATACATTTTTAAAAACTCGGATGGCTTTCGGTCATACGTTTTAGCGAAGAATCGAGTATTTTTGCGAAAGTTCTGCCTCATACGTTGTATTCAGTAAGCTTCGTTTCTGATACTTGTATACGTGATATTTGGAGTCAAACATGTCTATTTAAACAGTTCTCAACTTCCTGAAGGACACATAGAAAGAAATTGATAATTGCTTCTTGATCATTAAACTATTCACTAGCTTTTGAAAATCTACTGAAGTATACAGTGTAACCTCGTTAATCCGGACATTGACTATCTGTATTATTGATAATCCTCATTATTTTCCATATGGACATATCTTCACAATGGCAAATTTAATCAACAATTCATATACTCGCTTTCCGAATCCGAACAGCTATTTCTTATAATAACATGCATTTCCTATGGATACGTGATTCGGTTATCCGTATATTACTCCACTAGAGTCGAGTGGGTGTTGATTAGAAACAGAAAACGAGGTAATAATTGCTGACTACAAAACACCTGCACTAGCTAGTGGGTACCTGTTTACGACAGTGAGGATGTACATATAAACTAGTTTATATGTTCGTTTTCACTGTGAACGTTATTCGAAATCTGTTATATATATAACAGATTTCGAATGGCGTCCACAGTGAGGATGTACATATAAACTATAACAAAATAATTTATGCTAAAGTCAATTCACAGTGCTCTGAAACAAAGATACGTCGAGATATTAGCATCATTAAAATGTGATGTTTATTTATACAAGAAAGCAAATCCAAGTGTAAGTCACTCTGATACCATAAATAAATGTTCGTGAGGTTTTACAAATGATAAGTTTCACCTGGTCCAGTGTTACTATGGTAACTATCAAAAAACTGCTTCAAGCTTGTCAAGATTTTCTTGCAGCCTCAACAAAGTGAAACTGTTGAGACGTTAAAAGTCATTAATGAGAATGCTTCTGGAATCCACACCTTAATCTCGAGTAGTAATAATACTATGTCAGTTGGTCAGTGGCTCAACATCGACTCAGCAGAACCAACTGATCAAGAGTTGTCAGATGAAGACATCATTTCCATCATGTCTCTTCAAGAGTGTGGTGACAGTGAATCAGACATCTTAAAGTGATCCGCTGGTTAAGCCAGCCAACTTGAATAAAGCATGATCTAGCCTTAAAGACGTCGTCACATGTTTCACACGAAACATCGATTTGCGTGAAGATGATGACGTAATGTGTTTGATTAAAGCTGCTGATAAACTTCAAAATAAAAATATTCAGTTGAAAGGTAGACTGTGATTACATCCTTCCTTGGAAAATGGCTTCTTGTATAACTGACCTATACTTTGTATTTTGAATTCTGTAAGCAAGCAGATACGTAAACAGGGTAGTTTGAACGCACCGACCAGTAGAAGGCGCTAGTTTGCATCTTTGAAGGCAAAGATAGTTTAGATTATTTTAGGAGAGGGCACAATTTATATATATCGCACAGGGCGCCATTAACTAACGGTACCGCCCTATAAGTAAGTCACTAATTTGAAGAAAATGATGTTTTACGAGAAGATAATGAAATGCCACTTTCATCATGCAATTTGTATAATTACTAACGACGAGCAGAATAATAAACATACATTGTACACACAGTTACTTTTCGTTCACCAGTTGCATTCCCACTGTTATTAGTTTGCACCTTTACATTTATCGATCGATAATCCATGCTATTAATAGCTCGCATTGTATTCAAAGTGACTGATTCGACTATCCGGATGTTTCAATAATCTAGACGTGTTAGCTCATTACAAATGTGTTTGAATTAACGAGGTTTCACTGTAAATTTAAAAAACAAACAACACATTCTGAAGAATTTGCATGGCAAACAGACAATTTGATATATATATATATATATATGTATATATATTGATAACAAAACAAGAAACAGATGCTATTCAAGAACCTCATATACACTTCGATAAAAATATATATGTCACGAAAATATTCCATATCCTACGATTCCACTGCATTTTCATTACCAGAAACTAAAAATAATCCTTTGCTTTTACCAAGGTGCAACGAATACACTACTCATTTACGAGTTTCATATAATCACCGAATACTTATAACTAAAGCTTTTATTATTAGCCATTGAAAGTATAACACAAAATAATTAAGCGCAGTCACTACTTTATTCAGTACTTTTCAAAGGAATAATTACTTGATATTTCTTTCGACTACAGAGCCTTCCACAACAGAAACGCCGAAGGTTGTTGTGCGATACGATAGATGGCGCTGGAGATATTGGTGGTGAAGACGATGGTCGATTGGGTTGACCATTGTAGGGTCCTTCTAGCTCCACAAACTGTCTGTCCTGTTAGAATAAAAGATTATTGGTCAGAGGCTATGTTTCTTTCATTTTCAAATATATGACCATTAGGTTACACAAATTACATATAAAATTTGTAATATATTTCAAAGACAGTGTTAAACACTGATCATAAGAGTATTAAACGTTTTTGCCTCTTTCGAGAATGGAGTCCAAAATTCACTTTTTAAATTACATATATTTTGAAGCTTAATCACACACAATAAAAGTATTACACTCATACATAATTTTCTAAATGATTGAACTTTTCTGTAAGGTATAATGAAAGATAACAATTTCAAAACCATTAGCCCAAATCAGTTTAAATATTTGGAAAAACAAACTATAGTCACATCTAAAAATCGTATATGATCACAGTGTCATAGAGTTTTACCTGCCCACAGTAACACGGAACATACATTATCCATGCTATATATGGTCGATGATGGTCGAGTCTAAACGGATATCTTGGAAGGAGACATCCCTCGCTAGATTAGTTTCTGTGCAAATTGTCGTGTAAGATCGTAAGTAGTAAAGAAACGTGAGTATAACACCATATGTCGAATAACTTTGTGCACCATAAAGGAACTCCTAAGAAGTCTTATAATAACGTTAGTAATTTCTGGACGCTATGCCCTAGACATCAACTGTTTCTAACTAATCAAATACATGCTTTAGAAACCGTCGGTTTAACTTAAAGAACATAATACTCTAGACATCAAGTTGTTCCTAACTAACTGAACGTGGTACTGTAGATACGAAGCTCTTTCTAACTAATCGAACACATGTTTTAAACATCGGGTTAAATTTTAGAACATAATACTCTAAACTGCAAGTAGTTTTTTAAGTGACTGAAAGTGGTACTCTAGACATCAAATTATTTCTATTTTATCCAACGAGATAATCAAGAAACCAAATTGTTTCTAATTAATTAAATATAATCAATCATTTACACACCAAATTGTTTCTAACTGATCAAACATGATCCTTTAAACACCAAGTTGTTTCTAATAATCAAACATAATCAATCATTTACACACCAATTTGTTTCTAACTGATCAAACATAATCAATCATTTACACACCAATTTGTTTCTAATAATCAAACATGATCCTTTAGACACCAATTTGTTTCTAATAATCAAACATAATCAATCATTTACACACCAATTTGTTTCTAACTGATCAAACATGATCCTTTAGACACCAATTTCTTTCTAATAATCAAACATAATCAATCATTTACACACCAATTTGTTTCTAACTGATCAAACATGATCCTTTAGACACCAAGTTGTTTTAAACAAATCAAACATGATCCTTTAGACACCAAGTTGTTTTAAACAAATCAAACATGATCCTTTAGACACCAAGTTGTTTCTAACAAACAGAAGAAGATATTTTACGCAAAACTGTTTCAATCTAGTCGAACTCGGTAATCATACCATCAAGTTATTTTAACTGATAGAACCTGGTAATTAAGGCTCCAAGCTACTTTTAATTAATCCAATATTACAAAATACAATTCGTTTATAATCCAACACACTACTCTGAAGTCTAGACAGTAAATTGTTTCTAACAAGACACATAAAGTTAAACCGCTTATCAAAAGAACAGCTCTATGGTTAGTACAACATTAGATAATATGGCGAATCTTGTTATTAATTCATGAAAGTTACAAATGTCAATCATAATAAAACATTTTTAGAAAACCTAGTCCTTTCCTTTCACGAATAACAACCATGTTTAAATAAATATATTTAGGAATATTCAAGTATGCATTAGTTAGAACTATGAAACATTATTCACCTGTTCATGACACTTGAAAATGGTCACACTGTACTGAAGAGGATGCAGCAATCGATCAAACACATTAAACGCTAGGAAGGCTTAACCCAAAATACACTAACATAATATAAAATAATATATAATCTATAGTCTAATGTATTTTAACCCACCTATGACTAGTTAAATATTCTTGTATAAAGAAGATAAAATATTTACTTTACACCCGAATCCCTTTGACGTAGATTCGTGTCCATGGCGAGGTTTTTGCCTGCGCAGTTTACCTTCTAAGGTAAACTGCACATCAACCCACGTGTTTTCCATGCTTAGTGACCCATGAAATGGAAAAAATCACAGTGCTTGAGTGGTGTCTGAGTCATTGCAATACAATAATTTGTTCTTGAATTCCTATAGATAGGAAATTCTAGGTTGGCCCCCTCATGGGTCAAACAGCTAGTTAACAGTGACTTGGATCAAATGAGTGCCAGTATCAGATGTCTTCAAGAAGTGTAGTAGACATTATTCTTTACATGGCTGAACGGTTTTTTTAGATCGTCTACCAAACGCTATGGTGAGTGGGGTCATTGGGTTCTGAATTTTAACCTTTTATGATATTTGTCAAAAATTATTAAATATGACTAATAAAGGACAACGTACTGACGACTCTGTTCGCACACAGTTAATATCTCCAACATATGTTTCATCCCAAGTTCTGGTTTTACATATATTATCAGCAAAAGTTAAAATCTTGAGCTTGTTGGTCAAACCACCATGACCACAGGACAATCAAAGGCCGAGAAAGTTCTTACTAACATAACCGAATCGGATATTTTTGCAGAACTATCCAGTCATAGTAACCTTGGCATCAACATGCCAATCTAAAAACAGATGAATTAAAATGCAAATTTCTCCAATATTTTCATTGTCAGTAGTTCAGACAATTCAGTAGATCTTGCCATTGTTTTCTATTCCATGCTCGTTGTGGTGGAAAAGACCATAAAAACAGTAAGTTAGAGCAACACTGTATCAAATGAACGAGTTTTCAGCCCTCGTACTCTAGATCATGTCCAAAATGGGTTGAGGGTACCCAAAATAAAAACTCTAATTAACATCTCATACCCTGTGGCATGGAAGATGGTTACAACTCTTTTGAAACAAAGATGTGCTGATGCAATCTATTCCCTATTAAAAGGAAGTGCAAACAGGTATTTCTGTTTTAGCTTTCTATAACTATCTGAAAGTTCTATTGCCCTTCGTAAACAAATAGATAGATAAATCAACTTCTATCCTATCTCTGTCTCTACCAGTGACATCAATGAGCAATGAGGACCAATTCCAATGTACAAGACCATTATTTTGTCTCTCACACTCACTCATTTGAATCTCAGCTATCTGATGGAGACCTGCCTCTTCCATCCAGGATAGAATCCACGGAATCGTATTCACTTACCATAGAGAAAAAGAAAGGTGGTTAAAAAAAACATATACACACATATAAAGGCTCCTCATATATCCTAAGCAATTTAGCTAAAAATGGCCACAATGATACAGAAGAGCTGACAAGACTTTGACGGAAATATATACCCACTTTTTGTTTCTTCTCACAGGAAACTTATCTAAATCCTGCCATGTTCGCTTTGCCTGTTACCAGAATAAGATATCCATCAATGATGAGCTAATGTGCATATGTCTTCTTCCTTTATCATATTGGAAGACTTTACATTGACACAGTTCAGATTGAAATATTCACAGGATGGATAGACCTGTGGAGCATGTGCTCTCAGATCATAGTCTCTCTCTGAAAAACTATAGTTATTTCCATGATACAATCATGCATTTATTGCTATTGATCTGTCCGTTTGCTCACATTATGTCTCATCGTCTTTTTCTTGGAAAGTGGTTAACAATCCATATGGCACCAATTACTTTCTCGTCATCCTAAGAATGACTAGCCACAGTTATTGCCATCAACTCATGTGCCACAGTGCAAGCAGAGAAGGCTAACTAGTTCTTTTCACCACTCTCTCAGAGCTCGATCCTGCCCTCATTAACCTACCATCTGTAGATGACTTTGTGCAAGCACTGGCAAGTCACAGTGGTCATTCAGCTGCGTTTAGTATTCCTAAATCTTCGACACATTTCTATAATATACTCACATGGTGGGCTATCAACTGCCAAGAGGCCCGAGAAGCTCAGAGAGGATCCTGGGTATCTTCTATGGCTACCATACTCTAACCAGCCTAATAGCTTATTCAGAAGAATCGAGTCAAGTCGTGGTAGATCAGATGTCAAACCCAAAGTGAATCTTAGATTAGGTTCTCTTCCAGCATCTCTTACTCTACAAGTTAGCAGGTACTATAGGACAAGATTCGGAAGAAGAATGGGAAATATGCATCCCTCCTCTTATCGATTTTGTAACCTTATAGCCAAGAAGTGGCTCATTTACAGGGAGTTACTAATACCATTTACAAGTGCTTTTCCCTGATTCTATCACCTCATCTGTTGCCTTGAATTCCTGATATTCAAGAAAATGTCTGAAAATATTATATATATTTTTTCTTTTTAGGTTGATTGCTTTTACATTAAAAGATATCACTTGCTTTGACTGAATTCATATTGACTTCATGCCAATTACATTGAAATTATTGAAAGATGTTACACAATCTCTCTCCTACCTATTAGTTCATCATCTGGCTCTTTTCAACTAGATTGTGCAGGACTAGCCATTGCGTGATTTATGGCATCAGGCTACTCTCATCCATTTCTTTTAAAAGTAGATTGCATACTGGCCCACATATGTAAAAAATACACCATTTTGTTCCTAGTCTGCATGCTGTAGTATTTAGATAAATAAATAAATACGTTACATTAGATCCGCGTCATTACAATATTCCATCTGGAGGGGAAAAAATATACTTAGTTTTCCTAGCCAGTATAAAGTTATAAACGGGTAAAAAAGTACGTCACGTTATTTTCTAAACTGTATATTGTGATACCTAGATAAAATAATACGTTTAAATTAGTCCCTTGCTTAGCTAATATTTTTCTTTTACTATAATAAGTTGTGGATACAGGAGTGTCCTGATTATTTTGAGTCAATTCTATTAAAAAAACGATGTCTCTGATACATTTGTACATTTTTTATTTTTAGACCTTAACATTTTAAATCACAAGACAAAGTTATCGGTATGTTATTATCATAAACCAACATTACTTCTAATC